GTGTGTTGAGTTGCAGTGTTAAGTCATTTATTTGTGTTCTTTCCGATTTTTTGATGTAGGCATTTAGAGCTATAAACTTCCCTCTAAGAACCGCTTTCAGCATGTCCCAGAAGTTTTGTTGTGTTGTATTGGTGTACTGTATGCTTCTTGTCTGCTGTGTTTGGGTTTCATTTGTTGTTGCTTTCAAGTGTCTTGAGTTGCGATGTTAAGTCAGTTATTTGTGTTCTTTCTGATTTTTTGATGTAGGCACCTAGAGCTATAAACTCCCTCTAAGGACAGCTTTAGCATATCCCAGAGGTTTTGTTGTGTTGTATCATCCTTTTCATTTAATTCCAGGAATACTTTTATTTCTTTCTTAATTTCTCTTTTGACCCATTCATCATTCAGGAGTGTGTTGTAATCTCCATGTGCTCATGTGGTGATTAGGGTTCCTTCCAGTGTTGATTGTACGCTTTATTGCATTGTGGTGTGATAGAATGCACGGAATTGTTTCAATCATTTTGTATTTGTTGAGGTTTGTTTTGTGCCCCAGTACATGGTCAGTTTTGGAGAAGGTTCCATGGGGTGCTGAGTAGAAAGTATGTCCTTTGGTGCCTGGGTGAAATACTCGGTAGATGTCTGTTAAGTCCATTTGATATATGGTATTGTTTAATTCAGATGTCTCTCTGTTTACTCTCAGCCCTGTTGACCTATATAATGGATGCAGTGGGTATTGAAATCCCCTACTATTAATGAGTTAGGATTAATCTGGTTCTTGAAGTCCTGTAGTATTATTTTTATGAAGTTGGGTGCACCAGAGTTTGGTGAATATATGTTCATGTTTGTAATATCTTCTTGATTTATTTTTCCTTTGATCAGAATGAAGTGGCCCTCTTTATCTCTTCTGATTAGTTTTAAAGTCTATTTTGTCAGATATTAGAATTGCTATGCCTGCTTTTTTCTTAGTGCCATTTGCTTGGTATATTTTTTTCATCCTTTCACTTTAAGATAGTGTCTGTCTTTGAAAATGAGATGAGTTTCTTGCAAACAGCAAAAAGATGGGTTTTGGTTTTTAATCCATTCACCTAGTCTGTCTTTTGACTGGGGAATTCAGTCTGTTAATATTTAAAGTTATCAATGAAAGATGAGTATTGAATCCTGTCATTTTTATTTCTGTTTACATTCTTGATATAGCTGTACTTTTCCACAGTTATGCCTTCATTGAATTTCTTTCCACAACCCCTTGGGTATAGTAGTTCCTTTCTTCAGTTCTTTGTATTGCTTCAAGAACTCTCTGAAAGGCTGGTTTTGTAGACATGAATTCTTTCAGTCTGTTTATGTCATGGAAAATTTTTCTTTCCTCTTCGACTGTAATAGACATTTTGGCTGGGTAAAGTAATCTGGGTTGACATCTGTGGTCATTTAGAACTGGGAATACTTTGGCCCAGCCTCTTCTGGCTTTCATAATTTGGACTGAAAATTATCTGTAATTCTTATGGGTTTTCCTTTATATGTGACTTGTTTTTCTTTCCTACAATCCTGTTGAAATTCTGGTCAATACCATTATCCTGTGAGTCCTCTCCTTCCTCTTTGACTATAACACATGAATTGGTCATTTAATGGCATCCCATACTTCCTGCATATTCC